GATGGAGCCTACAAGACCCGGAATCGAACTGGTGACCCTTTGTGCATGGGACGATGCTCAACTAACTGAGCCACACTGCCCATGGCCATTTCCTCAGGCTGCCCCTAGAGCAGGGGTGGGCAAACTTTTTGACTCGAGGGCCACAATGGGTTCTTAAACTGGATCGGAAGCCGGAACAAAAGCATGGATGGAGTGTTTGTGTGAACTAATATAAATTCAAAGTAAACATCATTACATAAAAGGGTATGGTCTTTTTTTTTTTTTAGTTTTATTCATTTCAAACGGGCCGGATCCGGCCCGCGGGCCATAGTTTGCCCACGGCTGCCCTAGAGCTTTCTGTGGATCAGGAGTAAAATCTGAAAAATTTATTCAAATGGGTTAGAAAGGCAATGGTTTAACTAAAAAAAAAAAGGGGGTTTCAAAAATGGTAGACTTGAATCCTCATATACTGATGATGGGAATTTACAATGGTGCATCCATTGTGGAAAACAGTTTGGCAATTCCTCAAGAAGTTATATATAGAGTTATGATAGGGCCCAGCAATTCCACTCGTAGGTATATACTCAAGAGAACTGAAAACATACGTTCAAACAGAAACTGGTACATGAATGCTCATAGCAGCATTGTCTATAAAGGGCAAAAAGTGGAAACAATCCCAATGTCCATCAACTAGTTAATGGATAAACAAAATGTGGTATGTCCACACGGTGGAATTCTATTCACTCATGAAAGGAAGGAAGTACGAATACAAGCTACAATGTGGATGAATCCTGAAGACATTGTGCTAAATGAAAGAAGCCACACACAAAAGGTCACATATTGTATGATTCCATTGATATGAAATGTTCAGAATAGGCAAGTCCATGGAGACAGAACACAGATTAGTGGGGAAGGGGAGAGTTGGAAGGGTACTGGGTTTCTTTTTGGGATGATGGGAATGCTTTGGAATTGGTGGTAATTGTTGCACAGCATTGTAAATAGACTAAAAATTACTAAGTTGTACACTTTAAAATGGTGAACTTTATATTATGTGAAGTTTATTTCAGGAAAAAAACCAAACAAACAAAAAAGGTGGACTTTCTGGCCCGGTGGGATCTCAGAAGGGAGATGTTTTGGGGACGGAGAGCCTGTCTGTGTATTCCTAACGCGTACCGTACCAAGAAGGGGTTTCCTCTTATTACAACCCTGCCCCTTCCCCCTTCACTTTTCCACCTGATTATCTTCCTTCATGCTTTTGCTTTCTTAGTTATCTCTTTTTTAAAAATATATTTTTATTGATTTCAGAGAGGAAGGGAGAGGGAGAGAGAGAAACATCAATGATGAGAGAGAATCATTTATTGGCTGTCTCCTGCACACCCCAACACTGGGGATCGAGCCTGCATGTGCCCTGACAGGAATCGAACCGTGACCTCCTGGTTCATAGGTCGATGCTCAAACACTGAGCCGCACCGGCTGGGCTTGGTTATCTCTCGATCTTTGAAGAATACGGGACAAGCTCCTTGCCTCTTCTTTTCTGGACCTTCTTGGTTTCCCTCTTCTTCCTCCCCTCTTGCCTTGATTTCCTCTTTCTATTTGAAGGCTTTCCTCTAACCCCCTGTATCCTGGTCCACAGGCCCCTGCTTGGAAAGTGGCCATAATCACAGCACTGGCAGGTCACTACTCACCAGGCACACAGTGAGGAGCCTCCTCCTTGTCTAGCGTCTCTTTCCCAGGGCTCTGGGCTCTGCAGGTGAGTGTCTCTGAGGAGTGAAATGCGGTGAGGCTCAGAATTGGGAGGTGGGGCTAAAAAAGTAGGTGCCGCAGGCCCCTTGGTGGGAGTAAGGCAGATAGAAGCTGGTTCCCCAGCAGGTGGGGACTCACCTGCTGGCACCGCCTGATAATAGGGCTCCTGGCAGTGGTTCTGGATGTCGGAGGAGTTGTCCCCAGGTGTGTGTGTGGCCTCAGAGCCACCACTAGCCTGGCTGATGGGCCGACTATGGTTCATACCTATAGGGAAGAAGTGGTCATTAGGACCTAGAACAGAATTGCAAACTGGCACCCCAGAGAGTGATTCTGGGCCATGGCCATATTTAGTTTGACCTGTACAGTGTTTTTTGTTTTCTTTTTAAACATTTGAACTATTTTTCACTGATCAGATGGTCAATGCTAAAAAACAAATAACTAGGATATGGGGAAGTGGGCATTTTCAGACATGCTTAGTGGGAATGTAAAGTACCAAAACCTCTTAGGAGGGAAATTTAGCAATACCAAAATTAAAAATGCATTTTGTCACCTAGCATTTCCATTTTTAAGAATTTATCCTCATATGTGTGCTCCAAGATGTATATGTAAGATATCCATAACAGTACTGTCTGTGGCAGCAAGATATTTACCAGTGGAAGACTGATTAAACACATTATGACACATCAATCAAAGGAATATTATATGGCCATTAAAAATAATTAGGCAACGCTAGCCACATGTATATGGAATGATCTTTAAGAAATATCACTGAAAAAAAAAGATATATCACTGAGTGAAAAATGTCAAATTTAAAACATTGTGAATAGTATGCATGCAGCACGCACACACACACACACACACACACACACACACACACACCTACCCACACAATTATATTTGAATGGCATAGCATGTCTTTGGAAAAATACCCAGGAAATGGAGAACAGAGTTGTTTCTGGACAAGATAGCCAGGGACTAAGGGGCCAGAGACCAGAGAAAGACTTACTCTTTACCACATTTTTGGGATATTTTTATAGTGAGCATATATTACCTTTAAAAAAATTCTGAGTTACCAATTGAAAAACAATTGGTAACCTTTGGCTTCTCTTGAAAAAACAAGATGATCTGCAAATTCTGGGCCAGTAAATAGTCATGGAAACAACTGTTGAGCAATGGCTGCCCTTTAACTGGCAGCTCATCAGCAGAGGCCTGGAGGGGGCAGGGAAGGTGTGGGCCTGGGTGTTCCTGAGCCCCCAGTGTCAATAGTCACTCAAGTTTCTGCTTGGAGCTTCAAGGCACCAGGGCCATGGCTATGGGCAGAGTGCACCCCCGAGGGACACTCACTCACGGCGTGGTAGAGGACCAGGAAGCCCTTGTGGAGGCCTGTTGTCCTGTCCGCAGAGGAGGCTGGTGCAGGGAAAGTCAGCCGCAAACTGTTCCCCGAGGATACAAACTCCCTCTGACCTGGGGGGCCGCCCAGCGGAGAGCCCACGTGGCCATAGAACCGGCTTGGATCCATCGCACTGGCTGTGATCTGAAAGGAGAGGGGGGCAGGCAGGTGTGGGGTGAATTTGCAGCACAAGGGGTCACCGGGTCACATCATGGGCATAGGCTTCGTCCCCATCTAGGAGGTCTGCACTCCTCTGGGGCTGAGAAGCTGTTCTCTGTGGAACCTTGCTCAAGTAGCTTCCTGTTCCATTATTGACTCCCCAGTTTCTTCCAGACATGACCAGATAGATACCTTGCATATTTCTTCAGCCTGCTATAATTGTCTCATAAAGTCTACCATATTTACCTTCTTTCAAGAAGCTCCTTGGGAACAGAGTCCATAACATCATAACAACGATGTTTGGTGACAGATGGTTACTAGACTTATTGTGGTGGTCGTTTTGTGAGGTATATCAATATTGAGTCAATATATTGAACTCCTGAAACTAACATAATACTATATGTCAATTATAATGAAAAACAAATCAATAAAAAAGAAGTTCCTTGGAAACCCTAGGGTTCTCCCAATAGTCCACTGGATTGTAAATTCCAAGAAGGCAGGAAGCACATCTATTCTGCTGGCCACTGAATCCCTGATGCTCAACATGGTGCCTATAGCACCATGGCTTTGAATCAACGACGATGCAGACAAAAGTCCCTTCCATCCAACCCCATCACCTTCCTCTTCTCTGAGTAACTTCCTGTGGGCCAACAGCTGTGACGCAATAAGACCCTCTGCAAACACTTAGCTGGGGTTCCTGGTCTTTCCTGTTCTCCTTCTTTTGGAGTGGCCCTCCTCTTACCCCTTGCACTGTAAATAAAGCCCCACAAGGCGTGGGAATCTAAGGACTCAAGTGTACACAGTGTGGATACTCTGGCTATTGTTGTTTAACTTACATGTTCTTTGAGCAGGGTGTCTCTGTGTCAAACCCTTTTGACTGCCTCACCCCTGCTCAAATTCCTTTCTGTGGGTTCCCCAACCCAACGCAGGATACCTTGGAAGGAGTTCCCTTGACTGATAACTCATGCTTAATCTCTATTCTGGGCACATGGCTCACTGCTCAGCTCATATTATTTTTAAAATTTTATTCCTGATTTCATATTGACCCACAACCTGCGTCCTTGCTAGTTTTTCATTCGCTTATTCTTCCAAAGTCTCAAATTCCTTTAAGAGGCCATCCAGCCTATCTCATTGTGATCACATTAACTGGGTAAAAGTTGGCATGAAGAAAATTTCTCAGTCACCCCAATGCCTTGCTTGGGCACATTCCAATACTGTTCTTTTCCTCAGAACAACAACAAACTTAAGCCCCATATTTAAGAGACTCATTATCTCTTGGGGGAAGAAGCCTTTTTGCTCTCTGAAACTGTCCTTTACTGATCTACTTGGTTATCAAACTCCTCAGCTTTCTTTTTAGCTTCCTCACAAGTTGTTGGCTAAATAGAATCACGTAGGAGTCTAACTAGCAAAGCAGAATGAACATATGGCCGTGAGTCCTAAGACTTTGCTCTTAGGACTGTGTGACATGGGCAGTTGCTCAACCACCTCAGATCTTAGTTTCCTGTCCTGTAAAATGGCCTCTTGCTGTCAGGGCAGCATGTCCTATGGCAGCTTTCCAGTATGTCCCTGAAGAGCAGTGGTGAAGATGATACGAAATACCTGCTCATTCAAAATTCATTGTGCTGTGTGTCCTACACGTATGACGAGCTTGGATTTCATTTATTCTTTCATTTATTTCTTTGAGAGTTATTATGCTCTATGTGCAAGACACTATGCTAAGTGCAGGGATACAGACATGAATAAGACATGGTTCTGCTACCGAGGAGCCCATAGTCTGGTTGAGAATATTGCATTTAAGGGGTGTGTGTGCGTGCGTGCGTGCGTGTGTGTGTGTGTGTGTGTGTGTGTGGGGACCGGGCAGCAGAGGAGAAAAGAATTCTCTTCCTGAGCTTGGATTTCCTCAATGACAAGGGAAGAGTCAGTCTGGGCTTAAAATTGTCCATGACTAAGAAGAACAGGGCTCATGGTAGGTGCTCAATAGAATCGGTTGAATTGAATATAGTCGGCTTCTGGTGAAATCTGAAGCTTTAAATATGCATTTATCTCAAATCCCATTAATATGACAGCAAAGGGATGAAATGGTGTACATGGTCCAGGACAAACAGTGAGAGATGACAGCAGATGAGCGATGCCAGTAACATCTTGAAAGGTGGAATGGAGATGCAAAAGGGACAGCCTGACTCTGCGGAGGTGGAGGCCAACATAAAGCAGGTTCTCATCGTA